CAATGAAAGAACTCTCTTCCTAACTTGCCTTTTTGGAAACTGTCTGCTTCCTCTTCTCCAACCCAACCCCCTTTATTTAAACAGACCAAAGAAGAAAGAGAGATTTCTGAAAAAGTTATATTTTTGCAGCAAGGAAGCTCTCCATTCCTTGAGTCTCAGGTAAAGAACACACATAAAGGATCTTCCAAAAGCAATTGCTCTTCAGAATTCAGTACCATTGAAATGTCCTTAGTTTTTATTTTCCTTTTTAAATTTATCTTGTTTGATACCAAGGTGGGTATATAATTTTGACTTAGAGTCTAGGGAAGGGAAAATAGAATTTTCTTAATATTTCATTAACCAGTTATGCGTCATTTCTCGCGGCTTCTACTCAGAGGTGATTTTATCTGTATGATGTTATTGAAGCTTTATGATTGTACTTTCTCACAATAATCTTACTGAAACTTTCTACTGCCTGCTTTTACTCATAGAGTGGTGCTGATTTAGATGACATTGATTGATTTTGAAAGTTCTGAACTTTTATTGGTTTTCCCACTAGCCAAGTGTGATAAAGAAAATGCAGGAAGGCGACTCTGCTGACGCTATGGTTACTTCCCGTCAAATAATTTTCCAGAAAACTGTCCCATCGACCCTAGAGGTTAATTTTCAATTTATTTCATTTAATCCAATACCAGCATGTAGATAATCTAAAACCATTTTCCTTCAGGCACACATATTTCTAGATTCGCGTTTTCAGGCTGTGATAAATACAAAAGTAGAAAATATCCTGGTTTAAAATGTTAACTAAGAGGCTCACTGCTGCTGGTTTGACCTCTCCTCCCTCTGTAACCTATCAGGCTAGTCGTCCAGCTGGTCACATCCTGTCGGGCCTCTCCAAATGCAGAGGTTTCTTAACTTGCGTTTTTTCTGCCTCATTGGAACTAACACTAAGGAAGGTGGGCAAGAAATGACTGCGACAGTGAACTTTACTTGTAAATAAGGTCGGAACTCCGTACAGATGACTATGGCCTGTGCATAAGAGGCTCCCACCATGTCCTGTCAGTGGGAAATGTCTCATTACAGTGACCTGGACACAGGCACACTCAATATTTATTGGATAGTGAGTGCTACAGTGGATTCATTTCCCTGTATAAGGAAGTACAATTTATAAATATGGAAAATGGTATTTACAGAAATTTGTAGAATGTTGGCAAGTTCTTTGTGAGAACAACAGTATAAGAAGTAGTATATTTAATGTGGAAAGCCATCCTTTTGTGTCCACACACGTGAAGCCAAGTAACTTGTACTTCAGTAACGTCATCTGAACTTGAAATATAAAATGATTAGAACTTTATCATAAGATCAGATATATTTCTGCAAAATTTACCACCAAAGTGTATTCCTATTTAAAGAAATCTGAAATTGCAGCTATACCTGCAGGATGTATTCCGAGCTGAAGGTTATAGTTCATAAGTTTCAGAGAAGAGATTGCAGTCATAATTATTAGACAGTAACACCAGCCCTTTGCAGTCCCATCACAGACCTGTGTGTAGCTCTTGCCCTGATTTTCTTAAAGGCTTCTTATTTTAGAAATGAGATACCATCAGAATTTCTAATTTAGCTTTTATATTTCAAATATAGGGCACAGAGGATTGGGTTATTGTAGACAAAATACCCGCTGAGGTAGTTGATGGTGATTCGAAAAAGATTGTGACTTACAAGGTGGTGACAGTGAGCAGTAGAACTGGTGACCTCCCGGCCGACCTGTTAAAATCTGGCGCTATTACAATGGATGGCTTCGATGACTTGGCGCGAGACATGCAACTGAAAGAAGATAGCAAACAGAAAATATACACTCTAGGAAAATCCTACGACACTGTCTCCGGAAGAATTGTCACTATGACCGGGAAAGCCAAAGACGGGGAGAGAGTGGTGTCACCCTCCACTCTGGAAGCTCTTCAGAAAATGGAGAGAGGAATACCAGAGTCAATGAAAATCACTCCCGTTCTGGCAGAATATGAGGTCCTGGAAGCCCTTGCAGATGAGAAATCCAAGAGAGGACCTGAGGTCCCAACCCCAAAGAGGAAATTGTCAGAATCCCTGGCGCCCATCAAAGAAGCCGAGTCTCGACGGCAGAGTCCCGAAGACGATGACCTCAAGAAGGCTCCCACGCTGGAGAAGGATGTGGCTGTCCACCCTGGCCCAGAAGGTGGACGGTTTGGTAAAAAGGAACAAGTGCCGGAGAGTGAGGTCTTAAAAGTGGGACTCTTCGGGCCCCGAAGGAAGAGCCTGTCCGAATGGAGATATTCCCAGGAACCGACCTTTACCGTCGCTACTGCACATTACGTCACTGAGTCGTCCGCGTCCCGAGTAGCGGTAACCAGTGGCGCTCATTCAGGCCACAGTTTACGATGCCAGCATGACGGTCCTTGAGGCAGTGCCCTTCCACCCCAAACCCTTCCGTTTCTCTTGCTGCTTGGCTTTATGTTCAGAGCCAGCCAACCCAGCTTTTTGATTTTTTTCATGGTTAAATCAGTACCGCAGCGCAAGGTCAGCATTCAGACACTCTCCATTTTATTTCCAGCTCCCCATCCCCAAGGTGTGGTAGTGCTGCTGTGGCTTGCAATGAAGGAAAACATGGTCTGCTTGACCCGGCGCCAGCCTGTCCCTCATAACTCTCTCTGCTTTACCAAACGAGAGTGCCTGGTCACCCCAGTTTGCTATTTTATTTCCCATTCTTTTCTGTTTCCAAACTCAGTATCTGAGGTTCCTTCATTCCTCCTCCCTTCTTCCTCTGCCTACAGTTGTCTAACAAGCTGTGAATGTGTACGTGCCTGAGTTCGTCTCCCTCTCGTGCTTGACTCTGCCTTTCTTTGTTCTCTCAGACTAAGCAGTCTTCTGGCGAAAAACTCATGGATGGCTCTGAAATCTTCAGTTTATTAGAGTCTGCGCGAAAACCAACAGAATTCATAGGAGGGGTTGCTTCTACTTCTCAAAGCTGGGTTCAGGTGGTCATTCGCTTCTGTCCTTGATGTTTCTGAATGCGCTAATTTGCATTTCTTTATAAGTTTTTGGATGTGTGTGTGTGTGTGTGTGTGTGTGTGTGTGTGTGTGTGTGTTACATCCAAGTGCCTTTGCCTTTAACCCCTCAAACGTGTCTTCAATTGTTGTCCTTTGTGCTTGCTTGGTGTATCTGTCGTATGCCTTTAGCTCCACCTCAAGAGTGTACTTCAGATATTCCAAAGGCAAGCATGTTGAGAAATTTTCACAGCATTTAATTTTTATCATAAAAGCATTTTATCTCACCACTTGGATCTAAGAAAACAACCAAAACCAGTGTGTATGTGCTGCAGTGCTTTCCTTTTAAAAAAAAAAACAAAATTGCATTTTATCCTGCATTCTGTTTGTTTTGCCGCTATCCTGCAGGAGCAGCATAGGTTCAAGCATGTGTATCGGGGCAGGCATCAAAGTTCCTAGCAGGAGGAATGAAAGCTAATTTGTATTTTCCATCGGCGTTTCTGGTTGCTGCTGGCTTTAGGCATCCTGTCTAGTAGCGGCTTTCCTTATGTTGCGACCTTTGGTTTATGGAAAGTCACACTGACGCCACAATCTTCTCCTACGCAGAAAATGGAAACCAAGACAGAGTCCAGTGGCACAGAGACGGAGCCCACGTCGCACCAGCAGCCGCTGAGCGCCGAGAAGGTGGTGCAGGAGACTGTGCTGGTGGAGGAGCGGCGCGTGATGAAGGTGCACGCGAGCGGGGACGCTTCCTACATGGCTGGGGACGACATGGAGGCCGCGCAGCCCACACCGGCGGATGCTTCCATCATCAGAGGGAAGGAGGGCTCCACTCCGACTGAGGGGGCTAAGGAGGAAAGTGGGGAGGAGGCTGAGAAGGCTGTCCTGGAGCAGGAGGAGACCGTCACTGCCTCCCGTGAGCGGCAGGAGGAGCTGAGTACAGCCTGTGTTCCTATTTAAAGAAATCTGAAATTGCAGCTATCCCTGCAGGATGTATTCCGAGCTGAAGGTTATAGTTCATAAGTTTCAGAGAAGAGATTGCAGTCATAATTATTAGACAGTAACACCAGCCCTTTGCAGTCCCATCACAGACCTGTGTGTAGCTCTTGCCCTGATTTTCTTAAAGGCTTCTTATTTTAGAAATGAGATACCATCAGAATTTCTAATTTAGCTTTTATATTTCAAATATAGGGCACAGAGGATTGGGTTATTGTAGACAAAATACCCGCTGAGGTAGTTGATGGTGATTCGAAAAAGATTGTGACTTACAAGGTGGTGACAGTGAGCAGTAGAACTGGTGACCTCCCGGCCGACCTGTTAAAATCTGGCGCTATTACAATGGATGGCTTCGATGACTTGGCGCGAGACATGCAACTGAAAGAAGATAGCAAACAGAAAATATACACTCTAGGAAAATCCTACGACACTGTCTCCGGAAGAATTGTCACTATGACCGGGAAAGCCAAAGACGGGGAGAGAGTGGTGTCACCCTCCACTCTGGAAGCTCTTCAGAAAATGGAGAGAGGAATACCAGAGTCAATGAAAATCACTCCCGTTCTGGCAGAATATGAGGTCCTGGAAGCCCTTGCAGATGAGAAATCCAAGAGAGGACCTGAGGTCCCAACCCCAAAGAGGAAATTGTCAGAATCCCTGGCGCCCATCAAAGAAGCCGAGTCTCGACGGCAGAGTCCCGAAGACGATGACCTCAAGAAGGCTCCCACGCTGGAGAAGGATGTGGCTGTCCACCCTGGCCCAGAAGGTGGACGGTTTGGTAAAAAGGAACAAGTGCCGGAGAGTGAGGTCTTAAAAGTGGGACTCTTCGGGCCCCGAAGGAAGAGCCTGTCCGAATGGAGATATTCCCAGGAACCGACCTTTACCGTCGCTACTGCACATTACGTCACTGAGTCGTCCGCGTCCCGAGTAGCGGTAACCAGTGGCGCTCATTCAGGCCACAGTTTACGATGCCAGCATGACGGTCCTTGAGGCAGTGCCCTTCCACCCCAAACCCTTCCGTTTCTCTTGCTGCTTGGCTTTATGTTCAGAGCCAGCCAACCCAGCTTTTTGATTTTTTTCATGGTTAAATCAGTACCGCAGCGCAAGGTCAGCATTCAGACACTCTCCATTTTATTTCCAGCTCCCCATCCCCAAGGTGTGGTAGTGCTGCTGTGGCTTGCAATGAAGGAAAACATGGTCTGCTTGACCCGGCGCCAGCCTGTCCCTCATAACTCTCTCTGCTTTACCAAACGAGAGTGCCTGGTCACCCCAGTTTGCTATTTTATTTCCCATTCTTTTCTGTTTCCAAACTCAGTATCTGAGGTTCCTTCATTCCTCCTCCCTTCTTCCTCTGCCTACAGTTGTCTAACAAGCTGTGAATGTGTACGTGCCTGAGTTCGTCTCCCTCTCGTGCTTGACTCTGCCTTTCTTTGTTCTCTCAGACTAAGCAGTCTTCTGGCGAAAAACTCATGGATGGCTCTGAAATCTTCAGTTTATTAGAGTCTGCGCGAAAACCAACAGAATTCATAGGAGGGGTTGCTTCTACTTCTCAAAGCTGGGTTCAGGTGGTCATTCGCTTCTGTCCTTGATGTTTCTGAATGCGCTAATTTGCATTTCTTTATAAGTTTTTGGATGTGTGTGTGTGTGTGTGTGTGTGTGTGTGTGTGTGTGTGTGTTACATCCAAGTGCCTTTGCCTTTAACCCCTCAAACGTGTCTTCAATTGTTGTCCTTTGTGCTTGCTTGGTGTATCTGTCGTATGCCTTTAGCTCCACCTCAAGAGTGTACTTCAGATATTCCAAAGGCAAGCATGTTGAGAAATTTTCACAGCATTTAATTTTTATCATAAAAGCATTTTATCTCACCACTTGGATCTAAGAAAACAACCAAAACCAGTGTGTATGTGCTGCAGTGCTTTCCTTTTAAAAAAAAAAACAAAATTGCATTTTATCCTGCATTCTGTTTGTTTTGCCGCTATCCTGCAGGAGCAGCATAGGTTCAAGCATGTGTATCGGGGCAGGCATCAAAGTTCCTAGCAGGAGGAATGAAAGCTAATTTGTATTTTCCATCGGCGTTTCTGGTTGCTGCTGGCTTTAGGCATCCTGTCTAGTAGCGGCTTTCCTTATGTTGCGACCTTTGGTTTATGGAAAGTCACACTGACGCCACAATCTTCTCCTACGCAGAAAATGGAAACCAAGACAGAGTCCAGTGGCACAGAGACGGAGCCCACGTCGCACCAGCAGCCGCTGAGCGCCGAGAAGGTGGTGCAGGAGACTGTGCTGGTGGAGGAGCGGCGCGTGATGAAGGTGCACGCGAGCGGGGACGCTTCCTACATGGCTGGGGACGACATGGAGGCTGCGCAGCCCACACCGGCGGATGCTTCCATCATCAGAGGGAAGGAGGGCTCCACTCCAACAGAGGGGGCTAAGGAGGAAAGTGGGGAGGAGGCTGAGAAGGCTGTCCTGGAGCAGGAGGAGACCGTCACTGCCTCCCGTGAGCGGCAGGAGGAGCTGAGTACAGCCATCCACGTTGCTGAAACTTTGGAACAAAAGCCTCATTTTGAGGTAACTGGTCGTTATTGTTACTTATAGCACTAAAATAAAACTGATAACAGGGTGCCTGGAAGTTTAGATCAGCATACAAGTGGAGCTCAAGTTAGTGTTCTACCTGCTCCTTGTGCAGTTTCTCTCTCTTATTTCCTTCTTGGACAGCAGTTAGGGGTCTCGGTGCTGGTTTCCAGCTTTTGGGTCACATGCAAACACATGTCCTGATTATTTGTAATTTATAGCTCCAGAAAATGGCGTCTGCTCTCACTGAAATTATTGTAATTGACAGTAACCCCGGGGAATGCATGGTCAGCTGAGATATTAGAAAAGTTGATAAATTTATTTCTGATCAATGTAGTTATCCAGAAAGACCCGAAACCATGCCTGCTCAAGTACCAGATGCCAGAACTTCAGTCATTATTCTCTTTTATTGAGATGCCTAAAGTATTTGGGGGGTTATTGTCTTATTACTTGTTTCTTCTAAGAATTTATTAAATAGAAGGCTTATTTATAATTTTTTATTATTTTCTTCAGAATGTTTTCCTTTACATGAAACAGTCCATAAAAAAAGTGTTATGAAATTCTGGGAGACGGACATATATATGTTGCATGCCTCATTCTCCAACTTACTTCCTGCATAAACATTTATTTCATACTGACCTGTGCTTGTAACCACCAAAGAGGAAAGGGGAAAAAAACAAAACTGTGTTTTTGTGCAAACTATAATAGCCACTCTCCTTTCTTCCCATTGGCACAGTCATCAACTGTGAAGACAGAAACCATAAGTTTTGGTAGTGTTTCGCCAGGAGGAGTAAAGCTAGAAATTTCTACCAAGGAGGTGCCAGTCGTGCACACTGAAACAAAAACCATCACATATGAATCATCGCAGGTAAGACAACCTATGAAGACCAGAGCCCGGGCATTTTGTTTTACCCCTTTTTATGGCTTAAGGCATTTACCTATTAATATAACTACATGAAACTTAATTCACGAGACTTAGAGGATCCGGCAGCCAGATTGGCTCTGTCAAAAGCGATGCAAGGATTGTAATTTTTTTTTTTTTTATTGAGACAGAGTCTCACTCTTTTGCCCGGGCTAGAGTGAGTGCCGTGGCGTCAGCCTAGCTCACAGCAACCTCAAACTCCTGGGCTCAAGCGATCC